GGCAATCAAATGTCCTCCAGCCCACGCGCTGCTACCTGCCGTAGAAATGATGTCTACTTCACAATAGACCCTCAGAGCCCGTACTCTTAAAAACTATCTCTAAGAATTAACTGAAACTGTTGCGTACGGGCGAAAGTGCAGTCCAACAAACAATGCTGTACCGGTGGGGATAGCAGTTCTATAGTGACGAACAATTTTTCTCATTATAACATCTACAGTCCGCCCGACCACTTACCTTCGGTTTCGGCTTAGTGACATTGCTGGACATTATCTCATTCGGTATACCCGATGTCTGGTTGAGAGTCTCGGAAACAACAAATGAACAAGGAATGGAATGAACAGGAGCAATGAATCGACAAGGATGAGCTACTTCCAATGGAATAGAAGGGAATAGGGAAGATCTGGAATCGTAACATATTTCCCAAACATTCCTATATGTTGCAGCGGTTCAGCTTCCTCGATAATGGATTTCCAAACGCTCAAACCCATTCTATCCAAAAGGAGTTTTTCTGTACATTGGTAAAATATAAGAGGAATTGCTTACTAGGAAGTCCTCCCAAGCAATGCTATAATTGATGAAGAGTCCCAGTATGCGCAGCTCGACTACGTGTTCAGCAGAATGAATGGAAAACGAGGCCGAGCTCACTTCCTTCATAGTGGCATTTAATCCCAAATGCTGAAGAAATTTCGTTGAATTGAAGATTCTTGGCTGGACGATGCCCACTCAACTACCCTATAGTCCTCACCTTTTACCAACGGATTATCATACCCGCATCCTCGAAACGGCATTAATGGCAAGTGGAGTTGTATAAGGAAGCTATCGAACAACTATGTATCCGAATGTTGGCACTATGTTGCTGATAACAATGATACATATTATGTCGAATGAATTTGTTCAAGAGAAAATTGAGTAAAAATGAAAAGTACTTAAAATAGTCGTGAAATTATGCCCTATCCTAACATTATGGTATGACACATATTCTATTACCTCTCACGATTTATTAATTTTATTACTTTTCATTCTTGTTTTAAACTTTACGTAAAGCTCCAGAAAAATTTAAATTTTATGATGAAGCTTGAGAAATTTGTACCTGCAATAATGAAGGAAGCTGCCTTCATCTGCCCCAACATTTTATCCTTCACACTACCAGTTAGGACCAATTATTGTTAGCAGTAGTTCTGCCTTGCCTCTTCTCTTGTTGTACAACAACTCCTTACGAAAAAGTGTTCGAGCGCCTTACCTGGTACCCGAAACGCGAACAGCGTGCCCATTTCAACGTCTTACAGTTGCTCACACAAAAAAGACCAAGGTAAATATCGGCAGTAAAGGAACAAGTATAGTTCCATAGAAATTCAAGCAACGCGTTTATATACCTTTAATGAATGCACTTATATGGACTATTTGGGTATGAGATGATGACGAAACAATTGAAATATGTGATGAAATATAAGGATGGTACAAAAAGGATTGCGAAAAGGCTACGCCCAGTGTCAACAATCTCGTTCAACTTATCTAATGGAGCGACTACTAAATATGTTCAGCTGTCAGATGTCAGAACAGGTTCTTCTGAATGGCAGTACTCAAGATAGTCACCTGATGTCATTCTATTTGTCGAATATTGATGGTGAAATTTTAAAAGCATCGAAAAGCCAAGTATGTAAATATTTCTGATAATGACCCAGCTATCGCTGATTTTCTCCCACCTGTTTTCTTGTTTAGAATGCTCTCTGCTGCCTGTGAGAAGGAGGTTTCATGAAGTGGCATGAGGAGCACACTATCATACGAGCAATTCTGGATCGAATCGCGGAACGATACCCGTCCACGACAACCAAGCCGACCAAGCCTTCCATCCTTTAGGGGTCGGTTATTTGGTATCGTCTGAGCGAGCAAGGGTACTGACTCGTACCGGCTCGACTAGTAAGTAACTGTATAGACCACATTCTGTATAGGCCATGTAAAGGCCACATTCACATGACACATAAACATTTTAATGAGGTAGGTTTTAGGCTGAACTTGGAAGAACAATGCATTTTTGCACGCCAGGGACGACATTGATCAACGCAGGAGATTTTATTCTTTGCTAGTTCTTTTATGTATCGACTTCGGCCCAAATTCGACAATACCATTCTAATTTTTATGAAATATTTTCTGAAGAGTGAGACAATTTACTAGAGGTTTGACAGGCTCAGAAATGCGATAGCAAACCTTCCTAAACAGTCTTCTACGTTGTGAAGCGAAAATTCAGTCATCGGATCTTATAGACAGAAAACTCAGCAGCTATTAAAAGCGCTATCAAATATCAGATATCAAATTCGTTGAGATTCTATTACTCTAATCATTAATTGCAATGTTTCACGCTCTTGTTCTCCACGAGTTTCGTTAGGTTAAGGTTGGTGCGATGAATGGATAAAGGAGAAGTCTTGAAGCGTTAATGAATCCCGTCTGACAATGAGGGATGTGCCCCCGCACTCGACTTCCATTCAAATCGTAGTAGCGTATTGAATGCGTATGTAGCCTATACAATGACTTGCAGTGGACAGCCGGTGTACAAGTCGGTTCTTTTATCCTCCCAGACCAGTCTGGTACCAATTAATCGGCCACGGAGGTTGACGGTGGAAGGCTTCGTTGACCCAGGCGGATATCGATCCGGGATTCGAACCTGTGACCGTGCGTGTGTATAGTGTGCCACTTGCCACTACACAACCTCACCCCACTAATGAGATAAATTAATAAACAATACTAGCTTTGCATTAGTTAGAGATGGGGTCGTGGAGCTTGACAAAACACGGAGAGGAGAATATGGTGTTACGTGCGGGCACGGTGAGTGCTTGTAACTGACGATAGGTTTACGGAAGCGCCTATTTCTCCGCCGAAACGAACCCATTTTTAGGTACGAAAAGGCCGACCTTGCTTCCTTTTGTTGACTTCATTTATTGGACCTGAATAAGGCTTTTCATTGACCATTACCCAGCTTATCCCGATTTCAAATGAGTGATTTTGATGCTACAGNGGTACAACAAAACAGAGGCATCTGTGAACAGGAATAAATGAAGAAGTTTCTTATAACAAGCTAAACGCGACAGAAAAGGCAATGGTGAGGATCAGCTGCAGAAAGAAGGTGAAGGGGCAAAGACAATGTGGATCTCCTTGTTCAAAGATTCAGAGGAAGAAGAGGAAGAGATGATGGTGAGCAGCACAGGGTGGTGCCGAGTAATTTCTAGCTTGAGGAGTCAAAGAGTTTGATATCAGCACACATCTCCCTCTAGCGAAGACAAATACACTGCTATCATCTACGAAGCGTAGGAGGTTTCAGCAGTCTTACTCTTAAGTCGCCTACTCGTTGCTTTTCGGAGTGCCAAGATTATATAGATGGCCTAGACGGGTTTGAGAATGTTTTCTACATCACGTGGGGAAATTTCAGAAGAAATTCCTGAGTAGTTCCGAGGATTTCCCTAAACCTTACTGAAGACTACATAGAGTATAGAGAAAACCCCATTCTCCGTCGCAAGACATTATTTCATACTATTCTTGGTTCAAGTGAAGTAAATTTTTGATAGCTTCCGAAAGCTTAGGGCGAATGTGTCAAGTGTTCCTACGGAATAACTTTACAAGTGTTACTCAAGTATTTCTACGGCAGATTTGGAAAAGTTCCGCGAGTAGCAATTCAGTGGCATGTCTTCTAAAAATAGGGAGTGGTTTCCCAACGATTTTTCAATGGTATTTGAGCTGTGCCGACAGTTTCTGTTTACCAAAACCCACCATCATAGTAGATACTGTCATAGTTTGCACAATCTTTGTCCTCATACGTGATGTTTGAGTTCCCACGCAAACTTGTGCAAAGAAAGGGAAAGCCATGCATAAAAAATGATTATACATATATGTGCCTGCATATCGAGTACTAAGAAATATCAAGTGAACGCCAATAAGGGCCATCATTGGAAGGAAATAAATCATAACAAAAGAGGAAACTTATTTCAAAATAAGATTTAACTAAGAAGAGAACAGACTTCGAAAAGGAGGAGCTGAAAGCCACAGTAATTTTGTGCTGATATGGGACTGGAAACGGATGAAAATCAGAGCAGTAAAGCGCTGAGACATCCTCGTTTTATTGCCTAGTCACAGTCCAAGGTCTTGGGAACATCAAGTCAAAGATTGAAGGTAATTACAAGATTGCTAACCAACCACATTGGAATAAACAAACATTTTCCCTGCTCAGTAGGAGACCAATTCTGGACCGACGTCTAAAGGTTAACAGCGGGAAAAGCTTCCAAAGTAGCTGACATAAGGGGAGGGGCGATGACGAGGGATGCCATCGCTGTTGCACGATTTTTCTTAAACCAGTACGGCATCGCGCGGGGTCACGAGAGAGCAAACCGCGACAACAGACGAAACGTCAAGCAACGGCAAAATGTACATGGCTTATTTACCCTGCAAACACCCCCTCTGCACACAGGTATTTAAGCAAATTATGTGCTCCTTTCCTGTTGATCGTCAACTGTTCAACACATCCCAGGTAAGTCCTTAACAACAATGCTATTACTCCCACAAAGTGTATCACACGGTAGTTTTCCCATATTTTGAAAGCGAGCACGTAAGGGAGACGTGAAGAGAGAACTCACTTCATTATAGGTGAAGATTATCATTAACTGATTCAAGCTGCAGTTTGGCGTACTGTAGCCAACCACAATTATGTAGTGTAGTAAACTCTCACACTTATAGGATGCTGCTGAACCTTGTACTCCTCTTCTCTATCGCTGTTAGTGCCCTCAGTCAAGGGTATTATGGAAGTTACGGTACACCAAGCCAACCAGCATTTTCATCCAGCTATCCTCAGCAGAACGATGAAGTCTATATGTACCCAGCACAGTACCCGCAACAACAGCAACAGTACTACAATCCGAATCAGCACAGTCAACCGATGATTCAGACTTACCAACCGTTCCCTCAGGCACAGCAACTGTACCAGCCGCTCCCAAGTGGTGCCGATTCATATCAACCGATGACCTCACCCACGGGTCAGTTCTATCAGCCTGAGCCTCAGTCACAGAATTCCGGAACACAGAGATCTAATCCTTCGAGCTTGATCCAGAATGGATCAGTTCAACCAGCTAAATCGACCCAAAACGATTCGTCCCAAATTGGCGTGCAGCGCGATGATCAGCCAAAGGACTGTGCAGCACCCAGAGTACGTGGTGACTTCTGCAGCACGGCTCAACAGCAACAAATGTTCTACTACGATTCCGCTACAAGTAAGAACGTACCATTTCATATATGACTTATCCTTTATCTCGAAATCTTCTATTTCCAGAGCTATGCCAGCCATTCATGTATAACGGCTGTAATGGAAATGGTAATCGCTTTGAGACCGCTGCAGAGTGTAAAAGTCTCTGCATAGACAGTAATACAGCCACTCAACAACACCACGACGACTCGGCATCGCTACAGCAAGCGATGAAAGGTTAGCACTCAGCTGAAGTGATGCTATTTTGGTCAGCCTGCTAAGCTCTAGAAGAAATTCTTTTGAGAAAGGCTGAGCACCCAATCGTTATACTAGACAATCCACAGAACATGGATATAAAGTTATAAGTTTATTAATATTTGCGATAATTATTAATTAATCAGCTGCCTGCGGTGGTGAGTACGCCGTCGACCATTTGACACCTCAGCAATGTGGAAGCAATGGCCAGCAGTGCTCGACCGGATATCAGTGCAGCTCCGAGTTCTGCTGTCCAACACCAGGTGAGATTTCGGTTCAGTCTTCTTATAGTTTCTTCAAGTTCCTTTAAAAGCAGTCGCGCAAACAATATTTCCATTTGGTCTAAATGGGCTACTATGACTTTTCAGTTTCCATTCAGAAAAAGGAATACGTAAGATCCATATCAATCTAGTTAGCCAAGTAGGGGAGCTAGTCACATTGCAATCTCTACAACCCTGTCCCAGTCTTCCCACGCGCATTCTCTTCAAGGTTGTAGGATCTTTGTGACATAGGCGTTGTGTTATCGATCCTTTGATGATTGAAACCCAGTGTTGCTAGCTTACCCGATGGAACCACCTCAGTCAGCGATACCTCAGCACCATTTGACCCTGCCATGCTAAAGGTATTCCGGAAGGTAAAAGAGATGCTGTGACGTCAATCCCACAATTCGAATCGAAGCGAAGAGGAAGTTGCTGCGAAACTGCATTGGGCACGTACTGGGTAGTGCTTATTTCCTTGTTGCCCCGTATTGATGGACGTAGTCCATGGTAGGAATTGACAGGTTTCACTTGTACAGTCTACAGCTCGGCTCAAGCTATAATAGTATGCGTACTTACTGGTCTTGTTCGCTATCCTCCCACCCACTCGATCCATCAGCGGGATCCAATCAGAAGAAGGTATTTCAATCGACCCGCGTCTGGCGCGCCCTCCCTCTCTTCTAAGACCCGGTAGGGCTGACTAATGACTGATTCACAGAATATGTTGTCCCATAGCTACGCGGAAAGTCTGTTAATAGCACGCCTTTGCTACTGTGGAGACTACTGTAAGGAGAACTCAGTAAGTTCCAGATTACCTCTGCAATCTTCGTTACGATTCTGGAAAGTTCGCTGTTGGAGGTGAAAAGAGTGACCGTTACTTCTACACCAGCCAGTACAGGACCTGCATGAGGTAAGTAGCACGACTTCCTCTAGATCTGTGTTGGAAATAAAAAGTTCTGTCTCTTCGTATTTCCTCGATTCTGGCATAGTGTACGGTGAGCAATCGTATGAAGAACATTCTGTTCCAGATTCTCCTTCTATGGAACCCTTGGGAATGAGAACAACTTCCCTGACTACAACACGTGTATGAGAACTTGTGGGTCTCAGCAATGATTATGGCTGCTCTACCTCCTCACAAATATGTTGAACGGGTGTTTTCCTTTGAATTAATCAGTAAACAGTAAAACTCAATAAATCTTTATATACTCATAGTTTTGCAAAACGTACCAACAAGGCTACTGAACTACCCTAAATTCATGGTGATTGCGCATTTGCCATCGCATCGCAATTAGCTTTTCCCAATGACATCTTCCTATACCCTATTCACGAAATCAAATATAGTCAGTCTAACAGTAGCATCATATTGTTAGCCAACGGGTGTGTTGATGTTTGCACGGAGCAAACCAACAGATGTGCTTACCACAGAGATCATCATGTATTCGAACTGTTTACCTCGCTGCCACCCTCCCGTGCTATTTCGAGTGCAACGGCACAACCGTGGGTAATTTGGTTAACAATGAGTAGTACCGGAAACTTGAACGAATCAGTAACATGGGTTACTCAGTTTCAAGAGTATGAGGGCAGAGCGCCCATATATTGTCTCCACCGCTGTACGTTTGTTAGTATAGGATGTTTCTGCCTTTCTGTTATGTTCCCTCTTCACAGTCGATTCCTATGCTCACAGGCCGGCATCGCTTCCTTCAGAAGTGATGAAAAGGAGAAGCGCTGCTGGAAAAGCTTTGAAAACTACATATATCCGAGACTGTAATGAATTTATCCGAAGAATTTGATGACGCCATTCAAATTTAAAGATTGTCATAATGAATAATATTTATTACATATCTGGGTCATCCCCTTCAATTCACTCATATGCCTCGTAGAAATTCCTTCCAAAGGTGGCGATGAGTTGGCAGAAGTTGTTTGAATGCATCTGGAAAACAAGACTCTGTGAGGCAACAGAATATACTGGCAACAGGGGGTGCGATCGCTTCCGGCTTCTGGCTGTGCATCGTACTTCCGGTTTCACCGAATTACGGCGCAAAGTCAGTGAAGCCGGCCTTCTCTGAAGGGATGATAAGGACCGGGAAACCTTCTTTTCATGATACTGATTACTTAAAGGGCCTTGATAACATTGTCGTTGTGCGGATCGATACGGTAAGACTAGCACCCAAGTGCTCTACAGTAAAAACCGTACTTGGCAAATAGGCTTGTCTTTGGCGATTTTCTTTACGCAATCACAGTAAATGCTGTCACATTTCTCATACGGTTTTCTTTGCACATAACAGGAGCCATGATCATTGCAGCATTTCTGGTGTTCCTCTAAAATACATAATGTAAGACCTTCTGTTTAATATTGTAATTAATGTAAATATTTTGATATAATATAATAGGTACCCCCATACAAGTGTACTATAATAGTATGCAACACTTATGAAAAACAGTGAATCGTACACCTGGGCAGTAACCGGCATTAAAGGCACTGTTCACGAAAAAATGGTTTCGTAGAGTTGCACATGGTTTGAATTCGATGCCCCCTCTGATACCATTTGTGCAGGAATGATATCGGAAAACGGTCTGGATAGGGCACAATAAGGGGCCGGAGAGTTATTCACGGTCGCCCTCCGTCTCTCGCTAGGCTGGCTACGAAATCTAATTGCCGTTCACCACTTTCGCATTGGAGCGAAGTTGGTGAAAAATCGATAAGCTGGTTGGCAAATTGCCAGGTTCAAGACTGTAGTTTAAATCAGCTGTTTGGGTGTGTTGTCTGCTATTGCAGACATTGCGTCGCCTTCGTGCACTCGCCCGAACACTCCCTAACCGCCGTTCTTTCAATGTGAAACTCGTCCAACCCCCTTTCCAGCTCTTTTTTTGACCCTTTGTAATTCTTTTGTTCATCGTTTTTTGCGCTTTTTTCGTTGTTATCGCTTTATTCTAGAGTAGTTCTATGAATTCCCGTCAAAAAAGGGTACCCTAAATTTATTGCGAACGGTGCCTTTGATGGCTAAGGAAAAACAGGGTCGTGCTAGGCTCGGAGGAATAATTCTGATAACGACCCGAAGCTAACTCATTTGACGCATCAGCTTTTTCTCCTTCGGAGTAATGAAGGGTAAAAGGATGTGACGAAAAAAAAGAAGCCGAGAAGTGGAAATCGTTCAAGTAGCGAATGTTCAACGGTTGTATGTGATTCACTCCTTCAGAGAGCTTCCATTCATTTCTACGTTCGGATTCTCGACAACTATGAATCCACGAACAAGCAAGTGAGTTGAAATGCATGAAGAAGACTGCTTGCCTATGACGCGTGCGGTCGCGTGACGGTATTCCGTTCGATTGAGCCCTGTTCAGTCATCGAGAGTGTATGGACTGCACAGTTCCTGTGATTACGGTCAAGAATACTGGTGTGGATGTGAACCGTTTCAATGCATTCTTCCGCAATTTCCCTCATAAGATGACCGTGATCTTGTTCAACCTCAGAAACTCCCAAAAAAGTTCTGCCGACCGAGAGTGGAAGAGCTGGTAGAAGGTGCAGTAGCCAGGATCAAAACTAGTTCATATCCGGCGAGCCCAACTATTCCAGGTGATTATTTCGATCCTATCCCTGCACACGATTTTCTCCTACAGTGCGTTTCATAATTATAAGGTCACCCTCAAATTTTGCACATTCAAAAGAGCAATCATTAAAAAGTTTTTCTAGCATCATTAACGGATTCCCCAGCACGAATAACCTAGGTTTCCGTTTTTCAGCCGCAGCTGCATTTTTCTGAACTTTTTCAGAACAGTTTATCGGATTTTGCACCGTTTCATAATTATAAGGTCACCCCGAGAAAGTGAACAATTATTCATGGAGGAGAGGGAATTTCGTGTTTGAAGATACTTCTAAAGGTAAGCATGTGTAGCAAATGCATTTCTAAACCTGGCTGTCAACATGNTGACGGAAACAAGCGACACTGGCGCGACCTGAGAAAAGTACCAGTCTACTTCAGCCGTCGCAATTTCGGTGGAGGAGGTCTATTGTGTGGGATGCATTCTGTAATGATGTCGTGTTGGACCTACCTGCCGTGAGCTGCAGTATGGATTTCAAGGATTACTAGAAGTGTTGGAGCATCATCCAGTACCCTTTCTATGCCATCGCCATCACCTCAACTATGTCTTTCAACAAGACAACTCCTACATTCATGTGAGCCGTGCAACGGATGGGTGGCTGCAATGCCAATAAATAAGCGTCCTGCCATGACCAGCTTGCAGTCCCGATCTTAATCCGATGGAACATATCTGGGGCATAACAGTCAGACAGGTTTATGCGAATAACCGTCAGTTCCAGAGCACAGAAGAGCGATTATCGAAGCATGGACAGCAATCGATGAGGAACATCTTCGAAACCTAGTTTCTAGTATGCCACGCAGACTCTTTGATGTTGCTCTCAAACAAGGAGGAGCTATAGATTATTAAGTGTTGTGCATATGCCACCAACGTTAATAAATCATTTACTTTCTCAGGGTGACCTTATAATTATGGAACGGTGCAAAAGCCGACACTATCTTTAAAAAATGCATAAAAAATTTAAGGTGATGGATATTGCGACCAAAATTTGAATACGGAGGTACATTGTGATGGGGAATCTTCCTACGTTTGCCAAAAAATTCCATTCCGGCTGCTTCCTCCAGAATCGCAAAAATCCAGGGTGACGTTATAATTATGAAACGCACTGTATGAGAAATTTGGGCGAACCTCTCCTTCCCACCAACGACGAACACATGATTAATCGAGATTGTGGTAAAAGCTGACGACTTTCCCGAAAAATTATGGTTCCATCACTCTATGTTGATGAAACTATTGTCGTACTACCATCAAAAGAAGCGTTTATAGCCAAAGGCTGTCTTCTCTGGGTGTTTAACCTACCGAGCTGGCTGGGTGAATAGGGTCTCACTACGTCAGGTTCTGAATCCGCCCTGGAAGAGGAACGAGGAGAATCTTGCATGTTCGAGATATATATGTCAAGCGGTGAGCCTTACCGAGATGATCTCCACAATCCAGTTTAACGTACATCTCCATAAAATTAGTGGTAATCAACTCCATACCACAAAGCAGGCGACATTCCAACTTTGATAATAGCAAAAGAAGAAGCACGAATGTCCACGGCGTCATCTGGAATTCATTATGGGGATACTGCAGGAGTATGTAACCTGAGAGGTATAGAGCCGAATTCGGCGGAAGTGACGGTGCGTTTACAAAAAAGGTGGAGCCTTTTGAAATCTTTCAGTCACATCGTTCTGGTCAAAGAAATCTTGTGTCTGAAAGTGGCGAAAACTTTTAAGGAAATCTCGAAAATAGCCCACCTTATATGGGAGTACTGTAGGAAATACTAACGGTCACCGTTAGAATACTACTAACCTTTATATAATTACTAGGCTGATGGGATTAAGGAAGTGGGTCGGTGAGAACGCGATCCTAAACACCGCCCATCTTGTTTTCGGGACTAGCTCACTGATCCATCGAGTTGTTCTGGTCGGATTAACTGTTTTACAGGATTTTCACCCGCTCGAATTCACTTCCCTCTCCCACGGGATGGTAAAGAGAAGAGTTTTGGAGGGCAGAGGCCTTTCAAACAACTTTGAATGCACAGTTGAGAGATTCAGCAAGATAATTGTGCTTTTTTCACATAAAGATCGTCACTGTCACGGGTTCCCATTGTTTGCGGAAGGAAATATGGTCCAAACTGTTCCCAAGCGTAGTAGGACAGCTCCGAATTCACAGGGCTCCCAAGCGGAGTACGACAGCTCGAATTTACAGAGCGGAATGGGCAATATCACAGTTGTTGCACCTTTGCCCTCACGACCATAGAGATCGTAGTCGTTCCTATGGAGCAACAACTGACGATGAGTTCATCTCATATCGACTCAGTGAGTTTGGTCCACATTGAGTCGATATGAGATGTTGCCTCGACGGAAGATGGGCCATAAATATGGCTCGAAAGCTAGATTGAAGGCACGGTTCACGATAATCTGAAGTATCCGACTTAAGCGAACTGAAAGTTATGGAGCAGAATAGTGCAAGAAAACACCAAAATTATCGGACTGTACGAAATATTATGCTTCAAAAAAGTAGGGTGCGTTGTACTAGTTTATGTGTCTGTAACCGTCTGGGTGTTTCCCACATACGCGTGTACTATTCGTCGACTTGATGCTTCATTGAGGATGGTGCAGCCTGGGTGTGGTGCGTTATGAACGAAATGGTCGCGTCGCGGTGAGAGGGGCGTCGCGCGCGAAGGAATGTAGCGGGATGCAGCAGCNGGTAAGAAATACAAGAACAAAGTACTAATAGTAGAATTATGCATAAAATAATGATCGCATATCGATTGAGCTGCCTACCATGGCCGTTATAACACGGCCAATTTCGGGTGTGTACGTCACCAAAGCCGGTTTTGCAACTTTTATGATGTCCTGTGAAAGTCGCTTTCGACCAGACAATGTTTCACGTGCTATCCTCAGGTCACAAGCCCATACTGCGGTGGTCTCTGAAACACTTTTCATTATGTTTTTAGGACGCTAACCTAGAACTTCCATTGAAGGTCTTAAGCAGATCTTATCACTCTCGATTCACGAGCAGCCTACCCTGTGAGAAAGCTGGTGTACTGACTCTATTAGAACTGCCATAAGGGAGCTGCCCTGATTACGTAAAATATAGAGCAACGACAATTAAAAGAAAGCGGGGGAAATTGGGAACAATATTACTGTAATGATTTGCTTATGCACCTGATCCTCTGGGCGACATTTGAAAGATTGGTGGGTATGAAGGCCGTATATTGAAAGAGAATCCAGGCAATCTTACTGAGCATAGCCAAATTGGACCCAAAACCCCGCTTGATTCCTATTCCTGTTCCTTTTGAATAGGTACAACAGACCGTCCATTTTCAATATTAATCGTGGTTCTGAATTTAGGAGTTGGGGTGCTTCACGTCAAATTTTACCACTTGCTCCCAGCTCACCTATGGGATCTGATCCCTTGACTGTGCAAATACATTATAGGCTTCCGATCGCCTTCTAATTTGCAAATTTTCTGCTATTACCTTCTTTCTTAGCTTTACCCAGTTGAGCTCATTTCTGATGTCTTATGATGTCTTTTAAAAATCTAAAAACAACTTCGAATGGCAACAGTTAACCAACCTATACAATTAAGAACTTAGTTCACGATACTAGAAATACTATGTAAAGTCCTTAACGAGGAAAACCGTCTAACTCTTTTTTTTTGCAGCTTAGGATGAGGATGTGCAGCTTTACAATATGATCTTTTGCATTCCCATTCAGAATTTCCGAATTCCCGTGTAAAATCTTCTGTTCCAAATCAAAGTAGCCGTCGCCAATGGTCGTAATTGCACTACCCGCCTATTACGCTTGGCTAACTTTTCGCGTGTTGTTTAGATTTGCAAGTTTTGACTGCTTCGACCTTTCTTCGGCAGCTTATTCTTCCATTTGCGATATATACGACGTGGAATCGTCTTTAAAAGTTCTGAATATTTCGACGTTTAATTTACTATTGGTTTTTTGAGCGGCGGAAGAGGAAAGACCTAATATACCCTGGGAAATCATCTCCTTTCAAATAACCCAAGACGTACCATTACATCAGTTCCCAGTTTTTTTTAGAAAATTGCGACTCTCTGGTTTTTTGGGTGTTATTTCGTGCATGTTTTCAGCTACAGAATCGGCCACTATAGGAAGAAGTAGGGCTTTTTCTGATTGTGTCTCATTCATCCTCTTCGCAGCTTGAGCCATGCTCCAGAATTTTCTTGTTCTTCATTCTTCGTCCTTCTCAATATTTCAAATGACGGTAATTAAATAGAAAATAGGAATGGGCCCGATCCTTACCCCATAGTGCGCTCCGCCCATTTAAAAACCATCCGTTTTACACCAAACTATTGTGTTTTACTTCGGTTGTACTTCGTCAACGATGGTTCCATTAGGTTAATACGATAGTCTTGGGACACAATTTTACGTACATCGTCGCTCCTCTGTAAGAACCATTGTCGTCTTCGGAACACCACCACATTCTGATCAGCATCGGAGTTACCACCAGTGATATCCAAATAGGTCCCTAAAAACTTCAATTAAAAGTCATGTCGCGATCGTCGAGAGTTCAACGTCGAGCGATTGCCCTATGCGAATGGCGTCGCGCCTCAAATATTCGTTCCGCTGACCATCATATCAACACTGCTGTCAGGGAGGTCCTCGCCAGCCACACGACCATTGGTTGTTTGTTGCTCGCTTTCATTCCTCGGATACGGCACTCACCTTCGATCATCTTCCAGACCATCAGTTGCTATCTATGATGACCGAATTCTCCGCGAAGTAAACGTCGGAGACCACGAGCACGGAAATGACAGAGCCTCATGAGTGCGACTACAAAAAATTCACTCGACTACTTCACGAACACGGTTACAGACAAGTCCTCGCTTCGCGATTCCGCACCAACTGACTTACGATCTCCGTTGCACGCGTGTCTCAGTTAGTCAGTCTCCTGTCCTAGACCTCAATCGGAAGGGGCTCTGTCAGGATCTGGCGACAAAAGATGAGAGCTGAATCTTCTGTGACAATAACAACAGGGTCCTTGTTTATCTCCGAGAAGGAGAGATCGTTTCTGCAGCCTAAGCCAGAACAGAACTCGAGGAGGCTTCCGCTGTGCTCCACTGAGGACTGGAAGGGAACATTTACCACAATTCGCTTTCTCAAGGCCAGACAGTCAAGTCATCTACAGCAGTCACTCCACAAAATCACTCATGCAATCGGGGCTAGGCGAAGAAGAGATTCTGACCATCTTCTGCATGATAGCGCTCGACCTCTCTAGCCAAAACCATACAGTTACAGGAACTTTGCTGGGATACCGTCCCTTCTGATCATCACCTTCTTGAGGACCACAAGCAACTCAAAAAGAAGTGCTGCCAGTTTTGGTGACATTTAAAATACTGTGGCTCATTTCTTTGGCTGGCAGTCCTCCTCGTTTTAGGAGCAGAGAAAGGCTGACTTCCCTCTCGTTGAAGTAATGCCATAGGTAATGATGGTGTTTGTACAGTCAAATGAGTGAGAGTTTGAATAAAATTGTAAATGAATATGAGTGTATCCGAGTGTTTCAAAACTTTTGCATCGACCTATTAGTAAATGTAACAAATTGTTCAACAAAAGCCGGAAGTTTGTCATTTTTGGGGTTCTGGTCGTTATTTTGGTTTTTTTGGTTTCTTTTCACCTACATGGTAGTTGCTTTCAGGGTGCTCCTCGAGATGGCGAATCCCGATATGTATCTGGAGCCTCTCGAGAGCAATGACAAGTTGGCCGATAAAATCGGAGAGGTTATCAGAGAAGCACAAGCAACTACAGACAAAGTGGAGAAGCTCAAATGCCTTACCAAGGTGAAAATCTTTGATCGTTTGCTAGTCTCTCTGTTCGATTGAGATATAAGAGAGTTTTTTCACCACGAATATCCACGAAATAGAACCGTCTCAGGCAAAGAAACAGTCTTTGCTATACTCCATCGGTGAGAACATTTTTTGGTCTAAAACACGAACATGATAGTCAGTGATGACCGCTTCCTCGTTTGTCGCCTCAGCTTTATCGTCTTCTTTTCCCGGTGAAGTTTTATTTGCTTAAACAGGAAAAGTTACTAGCTTCCTCGCTGTGGTGGCCAGGATTCGCAAGTACTTTTACTGTCAAAGTTGATGTGGCAATTTCTCAGCGCAAACCGTTCGCTTGAATAGCAGCGGGCAGTATAACTTTTAAGTCATAGTAACGATGTGTCAGATCCTCCGCCGCAATCAGTGCCATCAATAGCCAGTTCTGGGAAAGATCTCTCAGAATTTAGTACGGAATCTTAGAATCCCTTATCAACCTCAAAAAACTATTGTTTTTTTTTNTTTTTTTTTTCACCTTGGTATCTGTGAGGCCAAAACCCCATCGAATTAAGTTGGTACTTCATTTTGATGACTCAACAGTCAACACTACTTGCTACCCCTTTCTTTCGTTCTATTGTTCTATTTCAAAAGTGGAGGTGCTCTGTACGTGGCAATAGAAGTTTTAAACCTCCGATCGAACACCTCAACAACAACCCTGGTTATTTTAGTGATTGAGATAACCTTAAGAAGGGTATATTTCCATGTGTGAGTTGTTATTTGAGAAAACCAGGCGATGCTCTGGTAAAATTTTCCGAATACGTTGAATTAATCGGGCAATCTATTTTTTCGGTGAAGCTTTTCTGGCGTTCAATGTTTTATCCCATCTAGAAAGGTTGCTACCGGACTCTCAGTTTTCAAAACTGTTCCAGGCAGAACATTTGCTTCTAAATGTGGATAATTCTGGCCATCTTCTGGACAATTTTCTCGATGAAATGCTCGAATTTGCATCTTCCGATGACTTTCATATGCGCTGCTTTTCTGCTAACTTCATAGAGCAAGCATGGTGGGTGTAATATTTAAACTTCTAGGTCCAGACTGTTTTCTTCCAGTTGACTCATTTCATTTCCTTAACCATTTCCAAACAGTAAAGCAATGACACCTAATAGTGGTTATGTTTCAGTAAAAAGGATGCGGATGTCTTGAAAAAAGCAATAACTCATCTCTCTTACCTTCTTATGTCAGGGAGCCATTCGCGAGGCGGTGTGAAAGTTATGAAACGGGTATGTCGCAGTCGTTCACCGTTAAAAACTAGTAATATATAGTGTTATGTAGCGGTCCATTTTTAATTTACACTTGGTTGTTGTTTATAGTTTTAATAGCTTCTTTGTCCCAAAATTCAGGTCATCATTGTGTGTACAAACATCTATCCTTATATACTGAAATGGGCATGTAGCCGCAAAGCAGATGCCGAAGTCGAGAAGTGTTGGGAAGCATTTTCGGTTCTCAAAGGAAGAATTGTTAGCCACGCAGATTCCGATAATGAAGGGTAAGTTTTTCATTCATATGTTCTCGCAATGAAAAAATTATTGCGAAAGAGTGACCAATCGTAGGTATTCCGTTACTAGTACATTTCAATTTTAAAATCAGACAGAGTTTTCTTGAATGCTCCAACCATACTGAGGTTTTTGAATATTATTTTCAAGTTGTGGAGGTTCACAATTTGTATTTTAGCAGCTATTTTCCTTACTCTTTTTTCTTTTACTCGAGCAATTAATTTCATCTAAGAGGATTTCGAAATTAAACAGTCCCCATTTCATGTTTTGTGTACGGGTGTGCCCTTGAGTTACTTGTTTTTTCTTCTGAGAAGTTCAGTAGATCGAAACCATACAAAAAGGAATTCCCTCAATACTCATACTTCCATTCATATATCTTTCAAAAGAAATCGATTATAGCTTCCTTGAAAGTATCATTTAAGGATTCGCACAATGACTTTCAAGTTTCTGGAAGCAATAGTCCTGTCACAGTCTTTGAAAACAGAGGTGAGGATTTACTTGGCTCGGACCTATTCCCTTGTTGTCGTCAGACGCATTCTTTTCAGGAAAGTGATACCAGCAGAGGCGACGACGTAATGTCACTCAATGAAGTGCCTAGAGATCATAGATTCATTTCATACCGAAAGCTACAGTCAGAAGCTACGGTAAACCTTCAGTCTCTCATGGATCAGACCACATTGCCTCACATTTCTGCTCAGGTATGTACGAATATTGGCTACACTTTTCTTCAACTTTAATGACTTCTTTTGCTTCCTTTATTCAGAATCTGCTCACGGTTTTAACGGTTTTATGCACGATTTCGAGGCGAAGGCCAGAATACATGGCACGCATTCTTGATTGCCTTGAAGCTCTACACATTAATCTTCCGCCTACTCTAGGAGCTAGTCAGGTGAGCTCATCTATCCGCCCGTTCATTACTCCTCAAGCTAACAGTGTTGCTTATCAATGCGGAAGAAATGGAACATGACCTGCCTTATCCTTTGTTTTTCCTTGAAGGTGAAATCTATGCGAAAGGAATTGAAAGCCCATCTTTTGCGGATATTGAAACATCCGTCTTCTCTTCCGTTACATCTCAGGATCACAACTTTACTGACGGACTTAGGAGCTTCTCAGAGTGTTAGTTTGATTTTTGTTGAAGATTTATCAGTTTTTATGGGTATATTTCCTTTCGATTCAAAATTCTTCCAGGAAATAAACAGAGCCATGCCATCAAACATAGCTGAGCTGAGACGAAAGGCGTCCAAGCGACAGACTCCTTTGGAGGAGCCAGCCACGAAAAAAAAGGCCAGAGGAGATGAGGCGTCAGGAGGTGAGTGACATCTGTCGGGATATTTCGTATGTTGCTACAGTGAGAGAGTCTTTCGTATGGGAGAAGGGGACACTCGAAAACACTTTGGTGACCGAAATAATTTTACTTCTTATTGACGTCAAAGCAGCCCACGTAGTGAAAGGGATTGACTGGCAGGCCTTTCTTTTGAGCGCAATTTTTGGAACTATTCGGCAATTCAATGCATTTCTCTCGAATATTCACCTTATAAAGATTGTGGTTTTTAGATAAATCTTTTTTCAGTACCCCTTGATGACGACGATTATGGAGATGACGAACCGGGTGCTGTGGAGGGAGCAGCTCCTATACCAGACTCAGCCCACCAGTCCGCAATAGATATTACTGCTGAATTCATCTATGAGCGTTTGAATCCGAAACTTGTTGCAAATCTCGTGCTCATATCATTGGTAAGTAGTTGTTTCGTCATCCTTGAATACTATTTTATCTATTTTATATATATGAAATCATGTTCCGGTATGTGTAGCCTTTTTGTATACGCTGTGGTGGGCTTTGTATGCATTACTTAAGGTTACACTACCCGATGAAATGCCGGCTGCATTCGCTTCGAGTTTCACACAGATTGCCACTGCAGGAACAGAGGTTAAATCGATTCCTGTTTTCTCCTTGTGTATTGCCTCAAAATTGACCCTTTCAGCAACATCGCCGTCATCTTGCAAGGAGTATGGCTACACAGGCGACAGCTCAAGAGCTTGGTCCAGGAGCTGAACAAATGCGTAAAGAGAAGCTGGCCAAGCTCATGGGTAAGTGATATTATTTTCATACGGCAGACAAGGTCTTTACTCGACATTTTCAAGAAAGGCAATCTGCTAGAAAAGAAGGCGTGTTCATTCCGCCGACGCCAGCCGTTCATGTTGGGGGTCATCACGGGCCAAAGCCGCCTCTGATTCCTCCTGGAGCCCTGCCTGGACCGGTGAGTTGACAGAAGGGTTCCAGTTCCAGTCATGGGTTGTGTGATAAGGCCTTACTCTCTAGACACCTATCCCAGCTGCTCCTAAAGTGAAGCAGCAGTTCAACATATTTACTGACACAAAAGAGTTGTCGAGGCAAGAAATGGATGAACTTTTTGAAAGCTGTTTCCATGCTATCATGAAAGCTGAACGTGAGTATTTCTTTTTCTCTATCAGCACTCATTCCCAATTCTTTCTTTTCTTTTCTTCTTTCGTTTCTTTTTGTTGGGAGTGCTTTCTTTTGAAGCTTTACCTTCGAATTATATCTTATGACTCACCGGAATATGCAAAGTTTGATGTGGATTTGTTTTTGTGTTGACAAGGACACGTTATACATGGGATCAAGTTCAAGCTCATTTTCAGTCTCCATAAGTTCATAGCCTATTAAGCCTCATCAGTAGTGGTTGGTCTAGCGTTGTAAGCTCAATTAGGCAACAACTGGAAAGCACATTAAGCTCAGGCTTGCCATTGTAAAAAAAAAAACTGTGTGAGAGTGTGTACCATATGCCAACACCTATGTTTGGAATGAAATTGGATAGTGTGGCACAACAGAGACTGCATGACGTTGAGTTATTATTCTTGTTTCTATTTCTTATCACTCTATCCTATTGTTGTGATTAGACTTTCCTTTCAGGGAGAGCGCGTCAAGGAGGCACGATGTCCATGCATCATGTAGTCCTCGTCCGGATTGCCACACGATTTTATCCATTACCGGAAAAGTTACACAACGAACTGATTGAGTTTATTGTTGATACTACCCAACATCGGCATCGAACCGATCTTGCCTTATTGTGGGTAACGGAGCTATATTCTCAATATCAAGGGTGAGTAACCAGTTCCTTTTTTTTACCCTTTGAATCTTCTTATTAAGTAACAACGTGGCCAATACTGGAGGGACAGTTATAGTAAAAGCGGTCGCGTTTTTACCATGTTCATTTCCTCCCTTTTCTTCAAAATAAAAAAGGGAAGAAATAAGATCAGTTCATTAGACAAGAACTCTAGTAAAATGCTTCGCAAATGGGATGCATGGCAGCTACCTCGTTGCAGATTTACTGTGTGCTTCAATCACGACTACATGACGAGTTATGGTCGTGCACCAAAATCAGAGCTCTTCGAAAAGTTCGACTCAACACTGTGTAGCCTACTGCAGAAACTTTTGGACAAAGGGCAACACAAAGAAGCGTGAGTATTTACTGAGCGCATAGAGCTTTAGTGAACTTTTTTTCTGGTAGGATTTGGAGTTCGTATTTTAGGCTATTTCACAAATTATTACTCGATTGCCCACTTGTTACGACGAACGCCTTGAGTATACTTGAAAAAGCTTGCTTGGATAAGGTAAATCGGCAATGTATAGTGTGAATTCTGTTAGGAAAGGACTACGAATAATTGTTAGCTGTGTTAGGGCGTGTTGTTTCGCATTTCGCCCACACTGCCTTGATACAGGTATATGGAGCATTCGGTATAACTACACTTCGTGAGCTGCTTTTGACGAGGAATCGGCAACGATCTGAATTAGTTGACATGCTGTTCAAGCTCTCCTTTTACGATTGTGTTGAGGTCAGCAGTTTTTTTATTTCGTCTTTTTCTTCATTATGCTTTTCCTATTGTCCTGATTCCTCCTTTGTTTTGCCTTCATATTCGGAAGTTGGCATTTGTAGGTCAAGCAGTTATGTGTGGATACGTTAAAGGAACTGTGCTCATTGAAATATATGCACCAAGACTTGCGGCTTAAGTTGATCGAACAGTTGAATGAATGCACATTACCAACGCCACCACCACACTTTGTCGCTTACAGGGTAAATTGGAAATTACAGAATTTTCCTACGTATGTTGGTCTTAATCTAGAAATTTTACTAGTTTTAGCATGTCACAGAATTCGACGAGGCGTTGTATCGGAGTGGTATCCATCTCTATTTGGCTGTACTTCCCCTAGACACATCATTACTTCTCCCAATTGCGAAGGTATACACAAAGGCGTCGACGCTTCTTAAAAAGGTATGATTCTCGTTTCTTCTATGTCGTGTTTACATAATTGTATCCTTTAAAATCAGCAACTTTGAAGCTTCTGCTACATTTCATATCTTTTTTTCGATTTTTATTGTTCCTCACTTCCTTGGAATTTGTGTAGAAAATCGAAAACCATTTTATCTCCCTAGCCGGTGAGTGATGACTTTCAGTAAGAAGCCCTATAAGAAGAAGTCTTATAATGGTTCACTTATGGAGTGATATACGTTCCCACATCTACGAATATTTTTAAGCAACCTATTCATTAAAGAGCATATTCGCAACACCATGCCTTCCTGCTTGCCAACGTTTTTCGATGTTATTGGCGATTTTAGTAACGAGGACTATGTTTGAAGCTTTTCCTTCCCATTTCCAGCATCATTTTTCTCCCACCGCGTCTTTAGGATCATTTTTCTCAACTTTTGAAGATTTGCCTAAAATTGGCTTTCTCGCGTACTTTTCGTGTGTTGCTTCCAACATCGCCTAGGTCTATACTATTCAATTGTTGTGCTTTTTCGATTCAGTTCGATCCTTATCTATGCGGCTTAGATTGATTCCTGCGAGGGATCTAATCCATACCAAGTTCCACTCCCTAGTTCCTGAGCCTTCCATTCTCCTGAATTCTGTTAGTTCAGTGTTCACCTGATACGTCTGGGAGTGCAAAAGCGCTGACCTCTACCTAGGCTACTCCTAGTAAGTTGTTAAATATGCCTGACACTCGTGTAAACATTACCATAATTCGAATGGGAATCGAGCGCGCGTACGCAGCTCATTCCGGCAATGCCCAAAAACTATCTTTTCCCATTCTTAGCTTTTCTTAGTTTGTGCAATAAACCCAACTCCATATTCTTTTGATACGAGAACTATGACCGTTGTTCCCTTTTACTTTTTTCTGCGAATCAGTTCTCTTGATTTCAGAGATAGACTCTTACGTTTAACAAAGCCCACTTCATTCACTCTGGTGAAGGGATACTTCGCTAAGGACCCTATGATAAACCTTTAGCTGAATCTTGTTCGTGGGTAAATAGGTGCTTCAAGCACCAAAAGTATCAGTTATTTACAAGCGTGGTTCGCTATTCGTTTTCAAGTTCAATTATTGATTAAAATTACTTGGTCCATCTGTGAAGATGTGAAGCGAATCAGCGTTTTAGACAAAACAATTTTCTTATTTAGATTATCCTTCGATCCATAGAGAATTCAATCAAGGCCATAGGAATGGACAACAAAGATATGCTCCAACTACTCGAAGAGTGTCCAGTGGGCGCGGAGTCGTTTGTCGCCAGAGTTGTTCATTTGCTGACTGAAAGGAGTGAGAGTTATTCAATTCTTTTTAATGATTAGGTCTATCGTACGTTTTCTTCACTTCCTGAGCACTTTCTGAGCCAAATATCGCAAAAATGGTCATCATTTGTGTCGTGCCTGCAATTTTGAAGCGAGAGTTTTAAATGCGAATTTTCTGTTATAGGTACAGCCACAAAAGAGGTGGTTGCCCGAATGAAGAAACTACACGAGGAGAGAAATACCGATGTACGATCACTGATCCCGATTTTGAATGGTCTCGATAGGGTATGCAGAACTTTCTTGTTGCGTCTGTTTGTTTTGTCTTCACTGGCAAGCGTAATGTCAAGCGTTGAAGTTGTATATGTCGAAAATTACTATTATTTTCAAGCCCTTTGTTTTTTTTTGGAAATTATGTGCAGTTACTAGTCATTTTTGTTAAGGAGGACATTGTAAGGATTCTTCCACAGTTCATTCTAAAAGGAATCTACCAGAATTCAGTCGGTCTTGTCTTCAAGCGTCTTCTCAATAGCAGAAGTAAGTTTTCTCTTTTTTAATTGTTCAGTCCAAACATTCGAAGTCAGCCCTCCCTCAACTTTTAACAATTAGCAGTTTAGCTATACGGGTGGACTAGGACAGTGTTGTTTTGATATTCTCTCACGGTCCAGAACCGAGTTTCAGACGTGGACACTGGCGAGCCGACGCTAAGTGCCCCAGATTTGATTTACGAATACCACAAGGTTCAACCGACAACTCCCGAAGAATTTGAAGTGCAGACTGCAAGTAGGTTCATAAGAAGTTCTGCTCTGCTCTATGCGCAATAATTTTTCGATTACTTTCATTAGATTTGCGAGAGTTGATGGAAGCTCGTGCCATGACCAGAGAAGCAGTCGCAGATGGAATCGAGCGATTAATGGAACTGAATCCGCTTCCGGCTCTTTTTTACTGCACTTTGGTCATAGTTTACAAGAAGGTATTCAAAATATCCCTATCTCTTGTCTTTTCTGTTATGTTAGGTAGAGTGGAATGAAAATATGAGTTTCAGTATCCGTCGCTAGATAGTTTCCTTGGGAATATAGTGCAGAAGGTTATCGCCAAAGATCTATCATGTCGTGACGAAATAACGCGAAAGGCATTCTATCGGGCACTCGACAGTCTCAAGACGGTGGCATATTCGGTACGTGAATTCTGTGTTAGCGCGACGGTGTATTCTGTGTACTTGACTCAAGGGTCCGGCTTCGATGTGATTCAGCCTGCAACGCTTCGTTCTTGCGGCTTGTCTTGTACTACTATGTATACTATTTATTTATTTCGAAATTTGGTAGAAGTGTCAACCATTCGATCCTACGTATTCAGTATAGTGGAATCCAGGATTTTATTAGCCGACACTGACAATCCTAACCAAATAGCAGGTTCTGTCATAAAGACCATTTGGGATGCCTACAACTTAGCTCCCTGATTTCTAATTTCGAACAATTCTGGTATTTTTCTCCAAGAATCCCTAAATCACCCTCTTCGGTCGAAAAGTTAACTTACCGATTCTTGCGTTACTGAATGGCTCCGATCATTAGGTACCAGTTGGGCTATGCACGCTAATGCGCGCGTCACATTAATTAATCAATCAATTGTTCTAGATACGCAGTGCTGCGATAATGTAGTCAAAAGCAGCACTCGACATAGAAGCTACTTTAATGATTGGCTCACAGAACTCCACTCCGTAGAAAGGTAAAAGGGGCTCATTCTATCGCTGCTAATAGTTGGATGTGCTCACCATCTTTATGAGCACAGTCTCTTGAAAAAAGGCCTGTGACTCTCTATACCTCAAGAAGAGAAGCAGCCTGCAAAAATAGGTGGCTGTTATCAATGGAACTTGTTCTCTAAGGATCTATCATTAATAGAGGCTCCCAGATTGTTAGCGGTCGGTTAAGTTCTGCTATGAATGATATCAAAGCAGAGAGGAACCGTGACCCGTCATTAAGTCGCAAACTTCGCTGGGTAGCGGTCGTAAGCATGAAGTGAACCGAATTTTGTAATTGGTCTCTATCGATGCACTTATCCTTCTTGTCGAATGAAACATATCAAAAAGTCAAAGTTAGATCGTAAATAACAATGGCGCTAGGATTCAATTGGTGAGTGGATCTTCTTCTCTAAGGCCTCTTCTATTGTCAATGTTCCCATCCTGCCTCCTCCTATTGATATTGCTCTCAAGGTCCATGAGATCAGGAGTTTTCGCTCAGACATTTATCTCGCGGAAACCCCGTCCCCTGTGGGCCCAGTCCGGCCCTACTGCCCAACATAAGTGTTCGCGCACTGCTGCCCGTTCTCTTACCAAGTTTTTACGCCCTGGAGCCAAATCGGAATTATTCGCGCACACCCCGCCTCCTATGGGCGGGGTCCGGTCCTCCCACCTACTTTAGGTGTTCCCATCCCACCGCCTATACTCCAGCCAAGTTTGAACGCCCTATTGCCAAACTAATAATTTTGGCACAAACCCCGCCCCCTCTAGACACGGTCCGGTCCTGCTACCCGCCATAAATGTCCTCATCCTGCCTCCTGTAATCCTACCAAATTTTAACGCTCTCGGGCCACGGAGACAGGAGTTATGGTTTTCTCGCTCTAACATTTAATTGGCGCAAACCCTGCTCCCTCTGGGCGGAGTCCGGTCCTGCCACCTACCATATGTGTTCCCATCCTGCCGCCTGTGCTCCTGCCAAATTTGAACGTTCTATGTCCACGGGGACAGGAGTTATGAATTTCCGTGCAAACAAACAAACAAACAGACAGACAGACAGACGCGAGCGCTTTATATATAGTAAGGATAGTGTCACTACTAGAGCTGTGCCGACTCCCAACGGTCTGGTACACATAAAAAAGTTGATTCTGTTCAATATAGACTTAGTTTGTGATTTTGATGTACATGTTATGTGTAGAATTCTGTGATGTCTGTGATAAAAATTTTCAGGCAATCCTGACAAAATTCACAATGGAGGAGTTTGAAGAGTTTCTTAGTTACAGTAATCGCGCTGAGACCCTTTTCGCCCTCAAGGAGTTCCTTCCCACTCTCTCCACCCATCAACAGAAGAACATCAGGTGGATATGAAGACTCTTTACCAATAAGATCCTTTAAAATTGATTTGAAATTTATCATTATCATTAACACTGTCATCGATTACAAGAGTTTCTGAGTTTAGCCCGGAGATTATTGATATGATAAAAGAAAAAGATGACAAGAAGGACAAGACAAAGGATGACAAGGACAGAGAAAAGGACAAGGAACGAGAGCGAATACGTTTGGATCGACGGGATCGTGACAGAGAACGAGAAAGAGCGGTTTGTAATTTGGCGTTTTTCATGAACCCCAGCTGTCATGAACATAGTTTTCATGGCATTCTTACTCTGTTTCTTGCCTCTTGATTACAAATTTGTATTCCTGCCCTGATTGTATTTGTAAATTTCAGAAGGAGCGACGTGAAAAGGACTCAAGGTAGTCATTGGCATCACTGCTCGAAGACAAAACGGCGTGATTCATCGTTAATAGCGATCTCTGATCGAAATCTGTTTTCATTGTTGAAATACGAGTATTGCTGTTGTTAACTGTTATTAGCAAGAGATTCTGTTAGCCATTGCCTATTCTCAGGCACTGTTGCGGTGGGAGGAGAAGTGCATCTTCGAGAAATAGGGGCCGTTTTTGTTGGGGCAAAGGACCACTGTTAGTTTTGTGGCTTCTAAAGAAAACTGTCAATTGGAGATAGTGGCCTGCTCTTTGATCTAATGATCGGCCTCCGGTTCGAGCTTGACGGTTCCACATGAATGTTACTACTTGTCCACTTGAGATCCACTGATCAGTTTTACTTTTACTCTAATCACATCTCCACATTTCCTCTCAACTTTAATCTGGAAAAAGGATTTTTTCATGGAATTGAGATTTCTTTCCCACCGTAACTGGACAGCATAGGATGAATTCCGAGGCGGTCAGCCACTGTTGTGATCCTTACTGATTGTACTACAAAGCATTTAACAATAGTTTTTTTCTAATTAATTGGTCTCGCGATTTTTTACTTTGGTTCGTTTGATGATGTTTCTTATCGTTTTCACAATTGTTCGAATTTGTAAATAGTTTTTTTTTTGACATCGATAAAACTAAATTTTTTATGTAGTTCAGAGGCATTGCATAGAGGCTTTCCGAAGGTACTGCTCTCTTTAAGGTTTGTTTAACAAATGGAAGGGTACGCTTGATTTGCGATATTTCCAAGATTAAGTGAGGTGTTTTTTACATGATTTGAAGGTATCTATCTGTAGTATTTTAGGTCACTGGTAAGTTTTTCGAACACTGTTCTCTATTCCTGCAAATAGAAACGTAAACTGGTCAATCCGCCTGATTCTAAAAGTTTTCAGAGCTCTAGTGTTTTGCCCTATATGTCACGGCCTCCACCTCAGCCGATTTTCGTACATCGAGGTTTAGAGGGTGGCGCTACCTCGTGTGCAGTCGTCAGTACATCGAATTGTGCAGGCATTCTGGTTGGCACTGGGAAAGGTCGTTGTGAATTATACGATGCTGATACGCACATTCGTATCAAGACTGTCTACGGTAATTGCATTTTAATGTACTCATAGAAAAAATGGGAATGTGGAGCTGTGCATCTGTCTTTCAGTGATGAATTTTTAAAACCTCGCTGTGTCTAAAGCGCCCGCGTCTGTTTGTCCGTCGGTTTGTTCGTCTTGGTTTGGCCCATGTGAGGGCAAGACCAGAAAAGCCCATGTGAGCTTAGCGGAACCTCCCCGCAAAGAGCGGGCATGCGCAGGAGTGGGAGATGCCATGAGAAAAACTTCTTAATTNGGTTCTACAACAGCCCAGACGAGGGGAAAATTGAGCGAAAGAGAGGGATGGGTCAATAAGTGAAATGAAGAGGACTCTAGCGGTGGGCGGAGCGTGCTCGCACTGGGCGGCACCCACCACATAAGTTCATAACATGATTGAACTCGACCAAGGAGGACAAAAAAAAGTAAAAGGATAAGGCTTTGTGCGTGCTGGGAATGCGTAAACATGTCTAAGCCCCGCCCACGATAGGCGGGGCGTGCATCTGGTTGTTAGATTACTTTTGATGAATTAATAACTCTATTCGGAAACGTTCCAGAACGTGCACCATGAGGGTGACCTGGAGCATGACCCACTTTCGAGCGCAGTAGCAGCTGTAGTGCCTCCTGACCCATACCCGTATCCTGATCAGATTAGTGCCGACCATTATGCGATAAGTATCAGATCTGTAGCAATGTCAAGTGAAAGGAGATGGCAGTATGAAATCCTGCCCAGTTGCCTTATAAAGACCCCAAGTTCAATGTCTAAGTGTTTGCTGACATCCTCTCCAACTTAGAGAAGTATTTCTGTCAACCGCCCAAAATTAACAACGGCGTAGTGCCGAAAAATAACCTGACCGGTGGTTTATGATGCTTTTTAGTTGATCAAGAGGAACGAACCATTTCCTCAGTTGGCGAGCTTGGCAATTCAATATGGTTACATGTACGGAATTACGCTGTTATAGTACTAGACAGCGAAGGCGTTCCTCAGGTGTCACTGGATACTTCTCATTGTGGATACTGCAAAACGATAGCTATTGATGAATGGCTCATTTACCCTGACACAAAGGTAGGAGAGCTTAAGTTATCAAGGTGCATGAATGGTCGAGGTTATGGTGTTGTGGTGCGTTCTTACTTTCCACAGCTTTACATGATTCAGCTCGAGCGACATTACTTGAGATTTTGGTCAGCGAACGTCAAAGGACAAAATACTGCTCTGAAGAATCTTCCTCTCTCAATCGTGTCTGTCGAAGGAACAATTTTTGTAGGAGACGAAGCTGGAACCCTGCAGAGGATTTCCAGCAGAGGCCAGATTCAGAAAGAGGTACGTTCCAGTTCTGAATGCAGCATCTTGCTTGAGAAACATTGCCACCACTGTTTCTCAAATATCTCGACATTCCGGTTAAAAAAAATGTAACTGAGTTCAAGTTTGAATTGATGGTCTTAGTAGTTGACCGGTCAACAGCTCGCTTTCAAATAGAGGTGGTGAGGGGTGAGCCTATTTAGTTCCACGTCTAATTACTTCGCACCTTCCCCGCCCATCCACTCACTCGCCTGCGGGGTGGCCTCGCTTAAATGGTTGGCTGCTGACCTCTATGCCACACAGCCATACTCAGGAGTAGCAATATCGATTATATGATTAAGAAACTTCTAAAGCATGAAAAATAAGGCAAAACAAAAAAATAAATATGCAACACTTTAATAATGCAACACAGAAAGCTGTGGAAGCTAAAGAAATCATAGGATGGGGAAAAGGATTTATCACATCGTGTAAGCAGTCATTCTCACAAGGCGCCTGCAGGCAAACTAGTTGACAGAGTGACCTTTCAAGCTTTTTTAACACCCTCTATCGCTTTCTTTAGACACCGCCAGTAGGTCTCTTGAACGTGTCCAAACATGTGGATGAAAGCATCATAAATCACCTCTGTAGTGAGCACGATGTCTCACTTGTGCTACTCTGAGTTCGACTACAGAGCTTTCTCCGGCTTCAACTCAGGGTTAGCTGCTACTGTTGTTCCTTCTTATTCCTACGGATCCCTGTATTTAGCTAGCCCACCACAATACACTGTACCAACTCTATTTCATGTATCTGCAC